CACCGCAACCTCCGCCTCCTGGGTTCAGGCAATTCTCCTGCCTCAGCCTCCTGAGTAGCTGGGATTACAGGCACGCGCCACCATGCCCAGCTAATTTTTTGTATTTTTAGTAGAGATGGGGTTTCACCGTGTTGACCAGGATGGTCTCGATCTCTTGACCTCGGCCTCGGCCTCCCAAAGTGCTGGGATTACAGGCTTGAGCCACCACGCCCGGCTAAGTGTTTTTTTTTAAATAAAAATAACCATGCCAAATATATTTAACAAGAGGTGATACCCAGAATAAATCTGGAGAAATAATAAATTTTAAATATCTATCAGAGTCATTATTCATAATATTCTAAATACATAAGCCATACCCACTGTTTGACATCATTGGTCACAGATGTCCAATAATAATTGGATTCTACCAGAGTGAGGGTCCTGGATATCCCATGATGAGCTCCACTGTCATTTTCATGGCATTCTCTTAAGACTTTCTTTTTTTCCTCTTCTGAAACAATTACCAAACGATTTTGTTTTCTGTCTTTTCCAACATAAAACAGCTTTTTTTCTAGAATAAAGGATAACAAAAAGATAGAACTGCAATTTTTAGAGATCTATGTAGTTTTAAGACAATCATAGCCTTCTGTTTAAACCATGAAGATTTTTGTTTTGTTTTATAAAATCTTACCGCATTTAAAATAGAATATTTATTTGTAATGACGCAACCACACAAAGGTTCTTAGCTGTCACACTTACTAGATACTTAGGAAGGGCAGTAACTGCTATAATTTTGTAGATTCCAATATAAGTAGTGCAAGCTTTTTTACCAAAGCACATAATCACTACGGAAATATGAAATTATCTCTCTATGGGAGTACTCAAAGTAAAAAGATTTTGCAGGCACTTTCTAAAAATGGAATAGATTAGCAAATAAATTACGTACAGAGAAACAACGTCCTAGAACATAATTTTCTAAAATAATGTTTAATCATCACTGCATTTTTGCAAGCAAACAGCTCTCTCAGCTTTTTCTGGATTTGAGTAGAAGGCAGGGATGGTGAAGCGGGAAAGTGGAAAAAACCTTAATCCTCAAGACAATTTTCTGTTTCCTAGGAGGATACATGAGAAGAATCTGCAGCTGGGAAGTAACCAGGGTATGGGCAGAATCACCATCTACCTCTCCAATATGAATGGGCTAGATATTCAAACTCCAAAATACCCATTCAGCTACTAATATGAGTAAGCAGATTGAGGAGTGGAACATTCCTTACTTTTTAGAATTAGAATATAAGCAACCTGAGAGCAGGAACCTTATCTATGTTATTTATCAATATATCTCCAAGATTTAGAATGTGACTGGCACATAGAAGACACCCAGTTAACATTTGTTACATAAATTATCAAATATATGAATGAATGAATCCTCACTTTAGTCTAACAGATAATGGGTCTGCCTAATCTTAAGTATAAGGGAGTTATTGGTAGGGATATACACAGGGAGACATGAGCAGGCATTTATTGATTATCCCAGAATTTTATTTATTAACCTGCTTTGGGGTAAGCCTAAGAGGCAAAATTCCCATTTAGAACACAAACATTCATTTAATTATCTGGTGACTACTTGTTGCTTATCTCATCCCAAACTTCTCTTCTCCTTTATAGATGAAAAAGAAGAAAAAATTATCATGACATTGCAAGATAAATATCCCACTGCCTTTCAAATATTTAATCCATTCAGGGAGATTCAAAGGTCTTAAAATAAATGTGATCCTGAGAATATTTAATGGCACTGGTGGGGGTTAAGGGGACATGATCACAGAAATATAGTTAATTCCTTTCAGTTTTTATTTTAGTAAACAACCCAGTTAACTTTGTCAACATTTTCACATCAAGCATCAAAAATGTTCCTCACTGACAGTGACATCAGTGCTGGAAAGTGTGCCATTAGAGAACACAAGAGAGCAAAAGCAGAAGTTGTTAATTTAGAAAAACGTTTTGTTTTGTTTCATGATATCATATTCTGTCTATAATTTAAACCTTCCTTTTCATGCTTACTGGCCTTCAGTTAGCTTGAGTGTAATTTTAATTTTGCTTTGGATTGAGTAGCATCATCAATTCAACTGCTAATTGTTTAGCAACAAAAATTACTACAGAAATTCTCAAACTTCTACAAAGAAGAATGTAGGGAAGCATCTACAACTCAATAATCAAGATTTTGAACATTTATTTTACCTTTGAAGACAAATTTTTTTGCTGCTCTTCTTATGCCACTTCTTTCACTTGGCAGTGTAGTTGGATGATATTCACCAGTTCGTTTGTAATATGCAATCTGTTTAAGATGAAGATCACCATTTTTTCCACTACGGACCATTGTGAACCTAGGTAAAATGTATTTCAACAGATAACTTAAATTTTAAACTAACTGAATTGCCATTTCAGTTCAGACTTCTGTCATATTTCTACTTACATATGAACTGAGAATTCTCAGAATTTATTTGAGGAAGATAATTGCAGTACAGGAAAGGAACAGTGATGTATATGAACGAAAATACTCAAATGCTATTTTTGAGATATCCCATGACAAATTATCTTATCTCTTTCCATTTGATAAGAAATGTTGAAAATTTTCCACATACTGAGAGAAAAGGAAATGAACCAGTATACTTTAAAAAGGTTTGAAATTTCATTGCTATCAAATGAAATGTTACTTTCACAGGATGGTAACACAGGAGGATCCTGTCATGTGACAAATAAATAAGTTATAAGAAATGAAATATAGTTTTATATTACTTGCAAATAGATTCATGGTATTTCTTCTTCTTGCCACCTTAGCCTGAAGGTGGTAACTATTTTTGCTATTGATAGTCACCAGGTGTCATGTTGTTTACTTTGTTACAGTCTATAAAAATGTGCTCCATTAAATTGATTTCAGACATCCCTCCAGAATGTCTTCTGTTTCCTGCTAGGATTATAATACAAATCTTACAACTTTGAAATTATATATAGGAAAAAAATAGATGTTTACTAACCACTGGAGGATCTAGGAATGAGACTAAACACTTACCAGAAAAAGAATGCTGGGACAAAGCAGAACAGACTGTGCCTATTGCCATGGCTTAACCAGCTTATCAGTTCACTTCCCCTATGATACAGCTCTTTGCAAATGTAAAAACCATCTTTCTGATCTATTTATAACCTCCAGAGAGAATAACAGTACATTTCTTACCTTAGGTTAACGCAAAGTATATGTCAATTTAAAAGCAAAGGTTCTGAAATGTTAACACAGTCCCATCATAACCTAAACAACACATTAATTATTGCTATAAAGTATTATAAGATAATTAGTTTTTTCTAAGTTTAATTCACTTGCAATTGATTATTAAATACATAATTTTTCTTTCACTTTCTAATAGCTAGCTGTACCTCAAACCAAAAACATGTAGTCTAACACAGTTTCTAAATCATCTCAAAGATGAATGGCTCAGATTTAAGACTTTTTATACATATAAAGTAAGTAGGACAAGCCAACTGGCATAAGGACATACAAATACATCACTGTAATTGAACAAGGAGTCCAGAATTATATCCACACATACACAATGTCAACACATATACAATGTCAATACATATACAATACATATACACATACAATGAAGGTATCAATATAATGAGGAAAAAGATGGTCATTTCAATAAATAATGCTAGACAACAACATTTTCCCCCCAACCTGTATTGGGGGGAAAAAAATGAACCTAAACCACCTACCTCACATCTTACACAATAATTAATTCCAGATAAATCATATACTTAAATGTGAAAGATAAACAATGATTCTGGAAGAAAACATAGGAAAAGATCTTTCAAATCTTAAGACAGGCAAAGATTTCTTAAATAGGACACATAAAACACTATCCATAAAAAAAAAATTAGCAATAGGGATTTATCAAAATAAAAATGTGTACTCATCAAAGACAACATTAAGAAAGTGAAAACACAGGACACACATTGAGAGAAGATATCTTTAATATGTATATCTAACAAAGGACTCAGAACCAGTACAGTATATGCAAAGAACTTGTAAAAATCAAAAAGAAAAGGACAATAAGCCAATTCAAAAAACGGGGTGGAAATTTTTACATAGCACTTCATAAAAGAGAACATCCAATGGTCAATAAGCAAGTGAAAATGTGCTCAACATCATTATTCCTCAGGGCAATGCAAATAAAACCACAATGACTTGGCTAAAATTAAAAACCACAGACAACATCAAGTGTTGGGGAGGACAAGTAGCAACTGGAACTCTCATACATTGTGGGAGGGTAAAATGTTACAACCACTTTGGAAAACTAAGCTTCTTTTAAAGTTAAATACACATTTACCCTAAAGGCTTGACAATTCTAACTTCATATACCAGTGAAATGAGTCTATGACTATCAAAATATGTGTACAAAAATGTTCATAGATGCTTTACCGTCAAATAGCCACTAAATGGAAACAGTAAAGGCATCAAGAGGCTTTACCATGTGTTTACTCTGTCCCTGTCTTGTAGCCACTTTTATTGTTACCAAGTTTCATATTGCTCTAGGTCAGTGATTTTCAAATTATCTGTGGTGAAACACTAGTGGTACCTTACCACTCTCCAATCTGCCACATAAGACCTCTTGATGCCTTTACTTTCCATGTCATCCTCACTACGCTCTCCTCTGCCAGGATTCTGTGGCAAACTTCTACTTCCAAATCAATTTTCAATTCATGAAGCCTTGTATGGTTTCGAGTTGGAAATATAGAACCTGTTTCTCCACCTATCCATTTGCCTGTCTGTCACTGTAGCTCTGCATTAATTGTCCTCAACTCTTGAAAAAAAAATAACTAAAATCATTTTTTCTTTGTGTCCTCTATTTTCATCTCTATACTACAGTGACACATGTTCTTTCAAGTCTAAGGGACAGAAACCTGTCCCTTCTCAGTTTAGATGAAATCAATATATAGACTGTATACTGTAAAATTAATAATATGCTGTATATAACTTCCTGTTATAGTTTTCCCTTAATAGTTTTTAGAACTATCAATGTCCCAAATCATCTAGACAATCTAAAGGAAAATCTAGAAATATCCCATCCTAGACAGTTGGGAGTATGGTACTGTAGGAAGATGAGGTTTATAAAGGGAAGATAAAAATTGTGTTATTTCCTCCCTTTTAGAAACCAGTGAAGGTTGCAAAAACTCCTGAAGGACTTTAAAAAGAAAAGGAGCGGGGAGCTTTTTCAGACCCATAAAAGCCCACAGTAGGAAAAGACCAAACTCTCACACCATAGAGGAAGTACAGGCCCCAAAATACCAAGGGGTATGGGTAACTAGAACTGGCAGAAAACAAACTAGCCATTGGAAAAAAAAATGTGAGTCTGCATAAACACAGTAGCTTCCATATTTTGCTCTTATATTTAAAAACCTCTTGGTTCCAAGTTCCCACCATCTCTTGTCCTCCTCCCCCTACCCATTTACCTACTGCAGACACAAGAAATTTTTTCTATGTAATATAAGATGAAGTCTTCAATATATTCAGTTATCTGTGCCATGAGGACATTGTTGGCTTTCCTACTTATAATAAATAAACAAAAACTCCTCAGAAAAGGTCTATTTACTGAAATTAATTTCTCTGCTTTGAAATCTTTGACTTTTGAATAATTGAAAATAAACAGAAATAGAGAAATTTGCTCTCCTCAGAGTAAACCTAAAGTACAAAGGGACATGGAGCAAAGGAACCATTACAAAAAATTTTGGAGACTGAGCTTTTTAAGGTTTTGGTTTGTTTTTTTCTCACCAAAGTAGTGGGAGAAGACTAACATATATCTATGCTATGGAGGAGGAGATAAAAATCAGTGGGAGAAGACATAAAAATCATAAATTTCCCACAGATTTTCATATTTCACAAATGCTGTCAAAAGTGTATTATTTTCATTTTTATATGGGTGAGTTGTTTTGGCTCAACAAACAACAGAACTGAGACTTAAAGGGGTGGTTATTTGCCTGACGTAGTCACCTTGATACTTATTTAGACTATCCCTAGCATATTTTTATCTTCCAAATGATTTACTTGACAGAGTGGACACTATGAGACTGCCTCTCAGCATTAACTACTTCTTAGTGGCTAAGGTGTCTAGACTATCTAGCCTACCCTCTACAACCTGGCAGAGCATTATACAGCTTCTTCTCTCACTAGTTTCCTTTGTATACCCATGGCCATATCCTCAACCATTCTCTATACCTTGGTTTACATCATTTTCCCCTAAATGGTATATACTTCCACCTGATTAAGTCTTCCATCTTTCAAAATCAAGTTCTACCACCTCAATAAAGCAAACATTCCATGATCTCTAATCTGAAGTGATCTTGACTCTCTCTAATCTCTTTTTACCTACTGTAGAACATCCCGTGTTTTACCCTTTTTAATATTTTTTTGCCTGTTAATCCATATAACTTTTAATTTGCTCATTCAGTTACTGAGCCCCTAAACCCTTGTATATACTAGAATACAAATTGAAACAAGATAAAATCCCTGTCCTCAAGGAGCTTATGGTATAAATGAGAAGAAAAAAAGAGGAATAAATCAGCATTCATACAGTATAGAGTGGTGTTAGCACAGATATATGCAAAGACCACTATCAAAACAGATGTGTAGAGACCTAGATCCATCTGGAGAAGGAGGAAAAGCATTTTGATTGTGAATGAGGTAGAACTTTGAACTTTATTCAATTGCCACTGCCTTAGTTCACTCACCTTCTATCTGACCTTGCCTCCTCTGTCTCTAATAATAGTCCCTGTCCTCACTGTAGTCATGGAGGTCACACTAAAACACAAATCTTATCAAAATATTCACTTAACTCGAAATATGCCTTTTGCCATTCCTGATTGTCCATCTGGGTGGTTATAACAAATATACCACAAACTGGATGGCTTACAAACAGAAATTCCTTTCTCACAGTTCTGGAGGCTAGGAAGTACAAGATCAAGATGCCAGCAAATTCAGTGTCTACTGAGGGTTCACTTTCTTACAAGCAGCTGTCTTCTCACTGTAACTTCACATGAGGGAAGTGGGACTTTTTAAAATATGGGCACTAATCCCATTAATGAGGGCTCTGACCCATGATCAAGTCACCTCCCCAAAGTTCCACCTCTTTTTTTTTTTTTTTTTTTTTCAGACACAGTGGCACTCTGTCATCCAGGATGGAGTGCAGTGGCACAATCTCAGATCACTACAACCTCTGCCTCCCAGGTTCAAGCAATTCTCATTCCTCAGCCTCCAGAGAGTCTGGGACTACAGGTGCATGCCACCAAGCCCAGCTAATTTTTGTATTTTTAGTAAAGATGGGGTTTCACC